TGACCAAGTATGGTTGAAAGATAATACAAGTTGACTGCAATTCTACATCAGCCAACTGCCAAACTTCTTAAAGCTGACAAACAATGGCTAATGAGCAAATCCCATTGTTCGAGTACAGCAAAGAATAATGTCAAAAGCTTAGAAAGTATGGGCTCAGGCAAATCGGTTTTATTTTCAAATTTTTCCTTTTTTCCAAAGTCTTAGAAAGTATGGGGAGAAGTTAGAATCAGCTTTTTGGAAATTTTTCGTTTTACTTTTAATTTTTTCGTATTTTTCAAAGTCTGGAAAAGTATGTGAAGAAGCTAGTTAAAATTTTTCCACAATTTTTCATTTTACTTTCAATTTTTCCGCGTGAAAATAAAAGTATGGCAAATCAGTTTTTTATGGTAAAAATAATCAAAATTTCAGTCATGTGTAAAAGCCTATGGTTTAATCATATTGAGTGTATGTTAAAATTTTTAAAGGTTGGACTATGGGATATAGCAAACAAAGTATTGACAAAAGGAAAAATGTATTTTTTATTAATTTTATTATATTATAAATTATAACTATAATATATAAATTTTTATTTTAAACAGAAATTTAAATAAGCAAAAATAAAGGCATCCCGAGTCGAAATTTAAGACCTACTTTAAGCCTGAATTTTCAGGGTTTGTTGACTATTAGTAGTAGTAAAGGAGGTTCTAATTTCAATGCAATTAGGCCCTACTTTGAGTCCCGAAGTCAGCAAAATAAAAATACAAAATCCAACCTGAAATTCGCCAATCTTTCATTTGGAGAACTAAAGGAGGGTCTAGTTCGAATTTCGTATACCTTACTTTCATACTCCTAGACCCTACATTCTGAAGTATAATTTTAAATTATTTTCTTAATGCATTGCTTGAAACACTGAAAATGCAAAAAGTACTCCTAATTGACAAATGCTGATGTGCTTTATAGCGTCTATATACGAACTGTATATAGACGCTATGAAACACATAAAATTCCACTTTTACTCATCCCAAGTGCTTCAATTGAATCTGAGCAAATCTTCAAGTTTTTCTTTTTCTAATTGTAGGGTCTAGGAGTATGAAAGTAGGGTCTACGAGGTTTATAAAGTAAGGTATAGGTTTCTTCGAATTAGGCCCTCCTTTAGTTCTCCAAATGGAAGATTGGCAAATTTCAGCTGATTTTTGGACTCAAAGTAAGGCCTAATTGCATTGAAGTTAGAACCTCCTTTACTACTCCTAAAAGTCAACAAACCCTGAAAATTCAGGCTTAAAGTAGGGCTTAAATTTCGACTCGGGATGCCAAAATGAAGGAGATATTTTTAAAATATGGCTTTGCTCTCTCAAAAATTTCAAAATTCGAACGCAAAACCTTAACGGAATTATTTAAATAAACGGAATTATTCAAAATAAGAAATTAAATTTAAACGCAAAATAAAAATCTCTTTCAATCTGTTCCTTCTGCATCACTTTCCGTTTCACCCTTGTCATCTTCGCTAAAATATTCCTCATTGTCCTCTATTTCATCATTCTCCTCTTCGTCTGTTACATCCTCGCAATTACTCTCTTCTAAATCATTTTCTTCTTCATCCATTTCATCTTTTTTCTCTTCACCGTTTTTGTCCTCGCAATTACTCTCTTCTAAATCATTTTCTTCTTCATCCATTTCATCTTTTTTCTCTTCCTCGTTCTTGTCCTCGCAATTACTCTCTTCTAAATCATTTTCTTCTTCATCCATTTCATCTTTTTTCTCTTCCCCGTTCTTGTCCTCGCAATTACTCTCTTCTAAATCATTTTCTTCTTCATCCATTTCATCTTTTTTCTCTTTCCCGTTCTTGTTGTTCTTGCGCTGCAAAAATTGAAAAGAATTTAATAAATAAATAAATAATAATAATAATAATTAGTACGCCAGAGTTGTAAAAGTTACTAAAATATAAAATACAGAAAGTTATTTATGTATAAAGCCCCTTAGTTAACCCTAAATTTTTTTCTCTGGAAAATATATACAGAAATCTTAATGTAAGATATTTCAAATAACTAACAAGTGACTATACCAAACATTTCAAACTGAAATACTTTCGTTTATAGGTTGGATTCATCCTTGCTAAAGCTTACCATAGTTAAAGCCTTGTCATTTTCCTCCTCCGAAGTACATCTAGGGTGACGCAAAGTCCCACACGTATTGTTTATTAACTTAGTTAAATGTTTTTCTTTAAAATCATCCGTGTTTTTGCTTTTCTTCCGTTGTACGTAATCTATGAAAGAATAGTATTTTCATTTTACAGAATTTTCGTGTAACTAATCGAATATAAATTAACTTATTGAATTTATATTAAACAAAATTTTTATGTAAGAAAAGTTGAATTTCAATGAATTTGTATTTATTACAAATTTTAATTAACAGAATATTAAATTAGAGAAATTTCCAAATTATAAAATTAATATTTCGTTAAATTTTTATTTTCACGAATAGATATTTGTATTGAATTATTTAGATGGTACATATATTTAAAATTTTATATTTCTAAAAAATCATGAAATACTTCATAAGGAAGTTTGCTTTATTGTTTTTATTTTTTACTTACAAAGAATAGCTTCTCTAATATCTGCAGGAACTGCCGGCCTTCCTCTCTTTCTTCTTCCCTTTGCACACATTTCTTTTAAATTTTCGTCGCCAACCAACTCTATTAGAAGAGCTCGTGCCAAATCATTTGGTTTGTTTCTCAAGCGTTGCATAATTATCAATTTAGATGTTGAGACATATACCGGCAATCCTTTTTTAAGTTGTGTCTTTGACTGGGTATCGTCAACTGGACGTTCCTTTTCCTGAGAAAGAGTTTAAAAAAATATTTTTAATTAAGTAGGCTATCTGATGATAGATATTGTATTAAAAAAATTAATAAGTTTCTAATTTCTATAAATCTTAGGCTAAATCGTAATTTCTGCTTATTAAAAGTAAAGTTAAAATTGTATAATAAAATTATATAATATAATAAAAGTACATTTATTTTTTTGATGATTGGTTGATTCGCCTTATTCCTCATCCATTCAGTTAATCTTTCAAAAAATGTGATTGTCTTTGAATCTATTTCTTTAAATTAAGAAGAAAATTAATTCTTGTAATAAATATAAACATAACTTCACAAATATTAGAGCTGTCCAAAAAGCACGAAGCTCGAAGCTCGAGTTCTAGAGAAAATTAAAATACTGTTTTAATACTTATTTAGTTTATTGATTCAATATACCGCATAAATTCGAAATTTTGTACTTATTAATATTTTTTTTGTAATTTAAAAGCTTGAATCTAATCGAGTACTCGAATTCACTCGAGTGCTCGAATTTAATCGAGTACTCGAATTGACCGCAGTACTTGAATTTTTCGATTACTCGAAATCGCTCGAGTCCTTGAAAATTTCGAGTAAACGATACATCCAGCCGGCTCGGACTCGGCTCGAAAAAAGTACGGCTCGGCTCGGCTTTTCGAGATTTTTGCACAGGTTTAACAAATATAATATTTAATATAATTTTACCTAAATCTTCAAATATTAATTCTAAGCTATGATTATCAGATGTTGGAATATGTTGATCGATTGTGATTTGTATTTCCTCTTGGTCTAAAAGAAAAATATAATTTTTGTATTACATAATTACTTTTATTTTGGAATGGAGACTATTTTTGGGCTTAAATGAAGAAAGAACATGTAAAACATATTTTAGAAACAAATTCGCAAAATTACCAAATTATTTTTTATTTTATTTATTTATTTAAAAAATATACCTGAAGCATTCAAAGCTCCAATCTCATGGTCATCATCAACCTTTGCCTTCTTAGCTGTAAAAAATAATAGTAATATATACATGTCAAAAAAATAATATAATTAACATTAGAAACGTTAAATTCTTTTTTTTTAATATTTCAAATTATTCAAAAAATTAATAGAAAAAATTAAGAAATTAATCTCAAGAATTTTTTAGTTTCACAGAATTCCTACCTTATTTGAAGAAAAAACGGTTAACTTTAAGAAAACTATAATCTATTTGTCAAATAATTTTTTATATCCTATTTATATTGTTGAATATGTTTAAAAATGTATTAAAAGCTAACAAATTGACTTTTACTTCCCTCGATTGTTTATTTATTTTACATTAATATCATAAATTATGATAAAAAAATAAAATAAAACAACAGGAAAATTTTAAGAATTGTAGAATTTGCATTTCTAAAGATTTGAGGATATAAATTTAACCAATTAAAATATTTTTTTTATACCTGAAGGTTGCTCTTGGTACTCCTCATTCCTTAACCTTTTCTGAATATTCTCTTTGGATGTAGGTTTTAAGTTATCAGTAATACCATCTGAGAAGGAGGTAGAAGGCATCGATTGAAAACTATTTAGTTTCTGAATTTTTTCCTCTTTTTCATTATTTTTGTCAATTTCATTGTTCTCTTCATTTTCTGATGCATCATTCTTAATAAATTTTTCTGATTTGCAGCTTTTTCTTTCTTTTTGTGCTGTTTTATTATTATTATTATTTTTTTTTTTAACATTTCTTGCTGTTTTTGTTGTTGTTTTTGTGTTGTTTTTTTATTATTTTTTTTCTCAATTTCTTTTAACATTTCTTGCTGTTCTTGTTGTTGTTGTTTTTGTGATGTTTTATTATTTTTTTTCTCAATTTCTTTTAACATTTCTTGCTGTTCTTGTTGTTCTTTTTGTGTTTTTTTATTATTTTTTTTCTCAATTTCTTTTAACATTTCTTGCTGTTCTTGTTCTTCTTTGTGTGTTTTTTTATTATTTTTTTTCTCAATTTCTTTTAACATTTCTTGCTGTTCTTGTTGTTGTTGTTTTTGTGATGTTTTATTTTTTTTTTTCTCAATTTCTTTTAACATTTCTTGCTGTTCTTGTTGTTCTTTTTGTGTTTTTTTATTATTTTTTTTCTCGATTTCTTTTAACATTTCTTGCTGTTCTTGTTGTTCTTTTTGTGTTTTTTTATTATTTATTTTCTCCATTTTTTTTAACATTTCTTGCTGTTCTTGTTGTTCTTTTTGTGTTTTTTATTATTTTTTTTCTCAATTTCTTTTAACATTTCTTGCTGTTCTTGTTCTTCTTTGTGTGTTTTTTTATTATTTTTTTTCTCAATTTCTTTTAACATTTCTTGCTGTTCTTGTTGTTGTTGTTTTTGTGATGTTTTATTATTTTTTTTCTCAATTTCTTTTAACATTTCTTGCTGTTCTTGTTGTTCTTTTTGTGTTTTTTTATTATTTTTTTTCTCGATTTCTTTTAACATTTCTTGCTGTTCTTGTTGTTCTTTTTGTGTTTTTTTATTATTTATTTTCTCCATTTTTTTTAACATTTCTTGCTGTTCTTGTTGTTCTTTTTGTGTTTTTTTATTATTTTTTTTCTCAATTTCTTTTAACATTTCTTGCTGTTCTTGTTGTTCTTTTTGTGTTTTTTTATTATTTTTTTTCTCGATTTCTTTTAACATTTCTTGCTGTTCTTGTTGTTCTTTTTGTGTTTTTTTATTATTTATTTTCTCGATTTCTTTATTTCTATTTTCTGCATTACCAGTTCTTATCAATTTTTCCAATTCGCTGTTTTTATTCTCTTTTGAAATTTTATGCTGTTCTTGTTGTTCTTTTTGTGTTTTTTTACTATTTTTTTTCTCGATTTGTTTATTCCTATTTTCTGTATCACCAGTTTTTACCAATTTTTCCAATTTGTTGTTTTTTTTCTCTTTTGGTATTTCTTGACTTACGGGTTTCACGATTTTTATTTTTGAAGAATCTCCTTCTTCTGATATTACTTTTGGTTGATTCTTCGCGCCTATTTGCTTCTCATTTTTCGATTCACCTATATTATATTTTTAAATTTTATTAATTTATTATTCTTATTTTATTACTTTATTTATTATTATATTTTTAAATTTTATTAATTTATTTATTATTATATTATAAATTTTACTAATTTATTATTCTTATTTTATTACTTCATTTATTATTATATTTTTAAATCTTATTAATTTATTAAAAAAAAAATTTTATTACTTTATTTATTATTATATTTATAAATTTTATTAATTTAAAAACAATTAATTACTACCTAAATTGCACTGAAGATCCCTATTAGTTAGCAAATGCTTTTCGAATAATTTATTCGTTTTTGCTCTCATCGTCTGTTTTAATTTTAGCGCTGCTGCATTTTCTTCTTTTGACGTATTGTCCATATTCTTCTCTTGACATACGGGTTTCACGATTTTTATTTTTGAAGAAACTCCTTCTTCTGATATTATTTTTGGTTGATTCTTCGCGCCTATTTGCTGCTCATTTTTCGATTCACCTATATTATATTTTTAAATTTGATTAATTTATTCTTCTTATTTTATTACTTTATTTATTATTATATTTTTAAAATTTATTAATTTATTCTTATTATTTTATTACTTTATGTATATTTTAAAATTGTATTAATTTATTATTCTTATTTTATTACTTTATTTATATTTATATTTTTGAAATGTGTTAATTTATTATTATTTTATTACTTTATTTATTATTATATTTTTAAATTTTATTAGTTCAATATTATTTATTTACAAATTAATTATTTGTATTAATTTATTATTTATATATTTAAAATTAAAAATTTTAATTATTTTAATGAAATTGTAGTACCTTTCACGTCATTCGTTTTTGGATTTTGACTGATGTTTTTTGATAAATCTTTAATTTTTGAATTTATTGTTGCATCATTTTTACTCCTCAGCATTTGGAGTTTCTTATCAACTGATTTACTGGTCTTTCGTTTTGATAGTAATGATGTACTCAACTCCTTTTTTTGATCCATCAAAATTTCCCCCTCATTGCTCACTGTTAGTGTTTTCAAAAACGCTTCATTCTCTGAAAATTTGAGGTTAAAATTGTAAAATTTTATATAATTTATATAACTTTAATTGTAGATAAATACATAAAAATTTTAACTGCTTAAAAAAATGTTTCTTTGTCTTCATTATTATAATTATTACTGTCTACAAAAATTTTTATTCAATGTTTATACTAACCACTCCGAGATATTATTACTCCTTTATAAGGTTCTTTTCCGTAAAAAACCGTGATTGAATCGCCAATTTCCTTCGATTTCTGTTCTTCGGTTTCCTTTAAAACCGTCACAGAATTATGTTCATCCCACTTCACAAGAAGAAACATTTTATATTATAACGAAGAACTTAAGCAAATTGGCAAAATTTCAATGACATTAATAACAACGCGAATTTAGCCGTAGGATAAAAAAAGAATGTCATTTGAAATTAGCTCATCAAATAACACGATATTTGCAATAGAAGAAAAAAAATGAATGTTTTATTTCAAATTTTCTCAATTTGAAAAGCGGTTATGATATTTTTCAATTGCAAAAATCAATTTTTTACCGTTTTTTGTAGAATTAATTATTTTTATTAATAATGCGGCGACGATACAGAAACCTCGAAGAATACTCTGTAAGTCATCAAAACAAAATAATAGCATCTTTAGAAAGAGAAAGTTCAAGTGACTCTGTTGATTCTTTAAATTCTGTGAGTTTGAAAAAATATTTATATAAATAATTTTTAAAATTGCTACAAGAAGTGTAATTATATGTTAATATTTTTTCTTTACATTAATTAATTTTAATCTAAAATAATAAATGAATAATAATAATTAAATTACTAGAAAAAATAAAATAATAATTAGAAAAAAATATATACATTGAAAAAAGTTTATTTGATTGAAATAATTTTATTTTTTTAATTGATTCATAGCAATATTTATTAGATCCAATTATTTTATTTATTAATTTAAGTAATTCGCATTTTATACAAATAACTATTTATTTGATACTATAAATTAAAATAATTATGTGTATTAAATATTTTCTTAGTTTAAATAAATATTTAATGGATAATAGAAAATTAAACCATTTAATTGAATCAAAACATTTTTTTAGTGTATAAAATATAATTTATTCTTAATTAAAGTAGTTGAATTATTGTTTTTTAATAATTACATTGTAGAAAAATCAAAAATATAATTAAATAAGTTTTTGAAGTTGGTCGGTCAAATTACTACTGTCAAAATTACAAAAAAGTTATATAGATATAAATATAAATATTTTTTAAAAATTTTATTATGAATAAATAATTAAGAAAAGTAATGAATAAGCAAATAAAAATTGAAAAAGTAAAATAATTAAATAAGTTTAAATGTATTATTAGTTGGAAAATGTAAACGTGGATACAAGTGAAGATGATAATGAGATTGGCCCTGGAAATGCTGCAGCAAGTAGTAATTCTATGATTGATAATGGTGATGATGAAGATGATAATAATCACGATGATGCAGTTAATGGTGGCGACAATGGTGATGGCAACAACAATAATAATGATAACGATAATGAAGATGACGATGAAATCGATGATGACGAAATCGATGATGATGATGATGACGAAATCGATGATGATGACGATGACGACGAAATCGATAATGATGACGATGATGATGATGATCATGGCGAGGTTAATGGTGATGTTGACATCAATAATGATGATGACAGCAGTAGTGGTGTTTCCAATGGTTCATTGATAAACTTTAATAATGGTGATTCTTCTGACAGTTCATTTGTTTCTTCACTTAATGAAACTTCTTCTGATTCATCTGGATCAGAATCTGACATTTCCAACGTGTCAATTGATGAAGGTAATGATAACGCATTTTTAATGAACATTTAACAAACTATTTAGTTAATTGCTTAATAGTTAATCAGGGTTGCCACGCAACCTGGAAACCTGGAAATATCAGGGAATTTTATAAACCTTGAAAAAACTTGGAAAAGTCAGGGAATCTTTATCGAATTCCTGGAAAATTTGTTATTTTCTAAAGTTTATTCTTGAAATCTAATTTTACATAAATATTTCAAAATTAATTAAATTTAAAAAGAGTTGCGTTTACAATTTTCGTAAGTATAAATGAATTTCAAAGGTTTGAATTTTAAATTTTGTAAAATTTCAATTGTGAATGAATTTAATTAGAAATCGTCTTAATGAACGTCGGTTTTTGAAAAAATTTCAATTATTACAATTCTTCTGAAATTTATTTAAATTTTTTAATATATATTTTCAATTGATTATTAAAAATAATGGATTTATAGAAAATTTTTAATTAAAAACACTAAAACAAATTGGATTTTGAAGCAATTATAAATAATTGCAGAAATTCAATTATTTTCAAAAGTAGTAAAATTCTTCTTAGAAATTCAATTATTTTCAACAATTTTAATAAAATTCGTGATAAAATGTCGATTATTTTCAAAAATTTCCCTCAATTCAATTATTTTTAATAAATTTACTAATTTAATAAAATTTTCTAAATGAATTCAATCATTTAAAAAATCTTAATGAAATTCCACGCAAACATTTAATTATTTTTATAGATAATACAATTTTTTACAGGGATTCAATTATTTTTATAAATAATAAAACTCAATGTTGAATTTAAATTATTTTTAATACAATTTTAATAGAATTCCTCGAAATTATTTTCTATACAGTTTTAATTAAATTTCTTCAAAAAATTTAATTATTTAAAACAATTTTAATGAAATTCTTCGAAACAACACAATTTAAAAAAAAAATAATTTAAATAAAATTCTTCGTAGAAATTTTAATAATTTCAAATATTTGTCAAAATTAAGTTATTTCCAATGTCTACCATTTCAATAAAATTTCATAAAAGAATTCAATTATTTAAGAAGAATATTTTAATAAAATTCGTCTCAAGAATTCAATTATTTTCAAAAGTAATATAATTCTTCGCAAAAATTTAATTGTGTTTAACAATTTACAAAAATTCTCGTCAAAATTTCAATAATCTTTACAAATTTTTTTCCGAAATTCAATTATTTTCAAAAATTTTAATAAAATTCTTGGCAGAATTTCAATTATTTTAAATATTTTTATCAAATTTCTCGAAAAATGGACACAAATTTTATTAAAATTTGTCAAAAGAATTCAATTATTTAAAAATTTGTTGTTAAAATACTTTATGAAAATTCAATTTCAAAAAACATTCAATTATTTAATAAAATATTTATTTTTGTATTTAAATAATTGAATTCTCGTGGATTTTTCTAGTAAATATTGATTTAAAAAAGAATTTCAGTTAAAATTTTAGATTATTATTGAATATATTGAAAGCAATATAGAGTAAATTTATAAAAATAATTGGATTTTGAAAAGGTTTCAAATGAAAATCTTCGAAAAATTGAACTTTTCAAACTTTTAATTATCAAATCTGTAGAATTCTTTTTTTTAAAAAGTTTAATTGAATTTTTCTTTAATTTTTCGAGTTTTTATTTTATAATATATATATATATATATATATATATATATATAATTGAAAAATTTCAGAATTTTCAAAATTACGTAAAAATTAATATTGAAAGTAATTGAATTCTTGTGGAGAATTTTATCAATTTTGAAAATAATTGAATTCTTGTGGAGAATTTTATCAATTTTGAAAATAATTGAATTCTTGCGGAGAATTTTATCAATTTTGAAAATAATGGAATTCTGGCGAAGAATTTTGTCAATTTTAAAAAATAATTGAATTATTTTGAAGAAGTTTAATCAAAATTTTGGAGAATAATTGAATTCCTACGAATAATTTTATTATCTATAAAAATAATTAAATTCTTGACAAGATTTTTAAGGAAATTTAGAATTAATTTTTCTCAAACAGTTTATATTAGAATATTTTTTTAATTATTGGAAGTTTTTAATTTCTATTTTATTTAATTGAAATTATTCTGAAGATTATTCTGAAGATTATTCTGAAGAATGCCAGAATAATCGAAATTAGGTAAAATTAAATTGTAAACAAAAGGATTTGAAAATTCGCAAAGAACTTTCTCAAAAGTTAATTTAAGAAAATTGATTTAAAGAAGAATTTTAGTTAAAAATTCTAAAAATGAATAATTGAATTGAAATGAAAATAATTTTAAAGAAATTACAGTTTAACAATATTTTCTATAATATAAAATAATGATAGTATCAAGTTTTAATTATTATAGAACATGAAGAATGATATCTTCATGTTTTATAATAAATATTCTTTTATGTTATTGAATTAAAAATTTTTGAAAATTTTAATTTCTATAGAAAAATAATAATTATTGAATATTCATTTAAAACGAAATGTCTGGAAATCAGGGACTTATTCAATTTGATAAAATATAAATTTAGTTTTAAAAACCTGGAAAAATTTCGTTTTTTAATCTGAAAAACTTGCAAAAGTCAGGGAATTTGAAATGAGGAAAAGTGTGGCAACCCTGTTAATATTAATCCTAGGTAAAAATGATTCGGACAAAATTCTTTAGAATTCAGTTAAATTTTGTTAAATTCAGGTTCAAATATCTGTACTAATTCCGCACGTTTTTGAAAGATAAAATAAATTTTTTAGAAATTCCACTGGAAATTTGATAAAAATTTTACACCTAATGTTTGATGTATCATTTTTTCAGAAAATTTTCGACAATTTTTCCGAACGAATTTTGTACTAAAATCTATTATTACCAACTAAAATTTCGTAAAAAATCGATAAAAATTCTGAATACAAAGTTTACTTATTTGTAATTATTCTTATTAAAGGCGTTTATAATATTGTGATTTTAATTAAATAGTATAATATATATTTTTAAATTTTAGATTTTTCCGATGCTTTATCCGACGAATTTTCAAGTGGAACTAATACCGATGACTCCGGAGACGAGCAAAATGAACCTATAAATGAAGATCCACCACTTTTTCAAGGATGTCCACTTACTTTGTCAGAGAGCCTTTTAAGTATTCTTTCTCTGACGCTTCGACATACAATTACTGGTGTACTTTTAGCATCCATTTTACAATTGATTCATTTACACTGTCCAGAGCCAAATCACTGCGTTCAATCTTTATACACATTCAAAAATTATTTCGAGGAATTAAAAAGTCCAATCAACAGGCATTTTTATTGCACTGACTGTCTTAATAATTTAGATGATAAAAATTCACAGTGTGCCATATGTGGGTCAGTTGGGAAATCTAATTATTTTATGACTATATCTGTGATATCTCAACTACGCGCCATGTATGCAAGAAATGGTTTCAAAGAAAAATTAAATTATCGGCATAATAGAG